GGAAATTTTAATTCTATTTGACTTCAGTTTAGAAGAAAATATACAAGAATTTTAAAATTATTCTCAGACTGCAGGAAAAGCAAGATGTTGAGTGGCAATGGAATTATGGCTAAAAATGTGGGAGACAATCTGTTCCAAAGAATATCATTAATTGAACAAATGTTCATGGGCATTAGGAACCCTGTGAGAAGCCAACTCGTGGCCATTTCTACATTTCAGTGTCTTGTAATGCCATCTTCTCCCAAATGCCAATCTGTTGACTTCTGAAATACAGAAAACTGCTCTTTTGAACCTTGATATGTTTTCTTTATACAAAGCTGTCTGATATCAGAATAAAGAGCAACATTTTACAAGGAAAATTCTTATTTCATTCACCAAGTGATTAAAGCAACAGTTGAAGCCAAAAGTGTTATTCTACGAGCTAAACACTCCCACTCCTTGCTCTCGAGCACCTCACCACCACCTCCACAAGTTACGAGCAGAGATTGGCCCTCTTGGCACCAAGCACACCTTCCATCCAGAGACACCCAGATTTTCCTCTATTCCTTATTCAATTATAAGCCTCCTCATCTTGATCAACCTCTGAACAGCAGTCGTCACTGACGAGATGAATATTGTTTGTCCGTGTGCTTCTCCTGATCCGTTCCCTACCCACATCTGTGCTACAAGAGGTTGACCTCCATAAACTGTGTTAACCACACTTCCTTGCTCGCTGGCTTCCAGCTGTGTTCCACCATTTGGAGACATCAGCAGATCAGAGGAGAGGAGGAGATAGAGGTTGGAGTATTTATTTCCCCAGCTTCCACTCTGCCAAGCCACAGTTTTTGAGTGACCATATCCTTCACCAAAGGCAACCCTCCCTACAGAAATGCTTTGATTGAGATATGAAAACCACTCCTCCTTTTGCCCTTTAGGGCTATGGATAACACCTCTCTTGTCCCTTCTGACTGTGGCATTGCTGGGTGTCTCATTATGCTTTCTCTATATTGCTTAGCCCTACCCACACTTCTGTAAATTGTCCTTCATTAAACTCTTTTCTGTTACTACTTTTGAATGTGCCATCAATTTCCTGCCAAGACACTGATTGGTACAATGTCTTTATCCTGGATGGTATCTGATTTTGCCTAAGGAACCCTACCCCTCTTGCAGTCTTCTCAGATGAAAGCACCTCTTACTCCAAATTCTAGGTATTAAGGAACCTCACAAATTTTAAGATGCAGCCTGTCAACTCCACGTCATGACCTATACCCACATCCTTCTTTGAAGCACAGCCTAGCTGGACAGACTTCCTATATTCCTCTTTGGTTCTGTCAGTTTATAAATCACTGAGACTTTGAATGTTGCCTCAGAGATGTCCTCTCCATTTCAAATGGTGTCATCAATCTGGGAAAACCCAGAGCTCATCTAGGCAATCCATCCAACAGGCAGCTATGAAGTTCCTGGAGCTCCTTGCTTTCTACCAACTCAACTCTATCTGTTTGTTGTCTCAGCATTCTCTCTCAACCAAATCTGGTCTCTTCTGAAAGTCCAAAATTCTTTTTTTTTTCGAGACAGGATCTCACTCTGTAGCCCAGGCTGGAGCACAGTGGTGCCATCGTAGCTCACTGCAGCCTCAATCTCCTGGGCACAAGTGATCCTCCCACCAAAGCCTCCCAAGTAGCTAGGACTACAGGTGTGCACCACAGCACCCAACTAATGTTTTCTTCTTTTTAGTAGAGACAGGATCTTGCTATGTTGCCCAGGCTGGTCTTGAATTCCTAAGCTCAAGTAATCCTCCCAACTTGGCCTTCCAAAATGCTGAGATTACAGATATAAGCCACTATGCCCAGACTGAAAGTTCAAAATTCAAGATTGACTTTCTCTGCACTGTTCAGTTCCATTACTCCAACTTGCTTCTGACCTTATGGGACCTCCAGTCTTTTGGCCCTACATTTTCACCCCAGACATTACCTACCTCATTCTCTCTTCTGGATTCACTTCCTTTCTTATCCATTTTACACACTGTGCGCATCTTTCTGACCATCCGGTACCAGTGCCTTCCTTCTTGACTCTCATTTGTCAATCTCCCACCCTCTCAAAATAATAGCTAACTTGGTTCAATTTGCCCATGCTCCACGTACTTAAAGGCAGACTGAAGTGTAGCTGAATAAACCCACATACCAGCAGGGACAGGTGTCACTGCAATTCTTCCTTAACCACAGCTAGGCCTTCTGCAACACACAACTCTACTTTTATATGATGTTGGTCAGGTTCTTATTCCAGTCTCCTCAAAGGCTAATCCAAATCTTTGCCACTCCAGACCTTGCCTTGAAAGACCCAGAAAAAAATGGAGCCACAAGTTATGAACAAATTCACATCACCCTCCTCCAAATCTATAAAAAATATAGAGCTATTAGGGCATCCTGACTTCATCCTCCCTCCCCCAAGAGAGTTCTGAACTTCCTCCCATCTAAGGATGCCCTCTCTACCTGCAACACAGAAGCCTAACCCTCTAAGACTCTCAGCCATCAGTTATGCCCTTTTCCTCCTCTCCACCAGCTCCTTCCTTTAGTTCATGAATCCGCTGTTGTCCCTCAATCCTGGCCTCCCTCTAGCTATCACCCCTCAAAGTCAAACTATTTGAAAGAATGTCCAGACTTTCCACTTTCTCATGCCCCATTCATACTTCGGTCCATTTCAGTATGGTCTTCACTCTGTCATTCCAACAAATATACTCTCCAATAAGTCATTGCTAAACTGTTTGCCAACTTCAACAGTCATTAGCCCTTAGTTCATGTCTCCCAAGAGTTGACTATTGGTCATTCTTCCTTTTTAACACCCTTTCTGTCAATGGCTATAAATCTAATTTCCTGTCTCTCCTCCTCCCTCTTGGATCTGTCCTATTTTTGTTTCTTCCTTGTCTTCACCTGCTTCTTAAGTGCTGTTTCTCAGGCTTCAGTTATCTATTCTTTTCTCACTATTCCACTATCCTATGGCAATCTCAGCCATATCCCCTGATAAAATGATGACTACCAAACCTTTATTCTAATGTGGGCACTCTCTGGAGCCAGATTTCTCACAAAACATGTGCACTTGGATGACCTACAGACACTTTCAGTTTAAGGTTCCAGAGCCAAATTCATTACCTATCTTCCTTACTCCTTGCTTCAGGAAACAGCAATACCATTTACCCAGATCACTAACTGACTATCATCCTAGACTCTTCCTCTCCCTTTACATCCAATTGGCAGCTAAGTCCTATAGAGTTTCACTACCTTGACACATCCTGCATTTCCATTCCTTCATCTCCATTGCCACGGATACTGACTCAGCCCAGGACATGGTAACCTCTCATTTCCACCATTGCAACTGTCTACTAGCTGGTTTCCTGCTCCTAGCTTTGCCCTCTCTGCTTTGTCTTTCAGAAGACTGAGCAATCTTTAGAAAATGAAAACATGAACTTCACGATCTAGTTTAAGACTTTTTGATGGTTCCACATTGTATACAGGTAAAATGAAAGTTCTTAGCATTGAATTCATGCAATGACCCTTCCTATGTCTCTAGCCATTTCTAGTAATTCTCCATCCATTCAAAATCTATCCTGCATCTCTACTCACTCACTTTCCCCAAACACACCATAGCATTCTATATCTCTGTGCCTTTGTACATGTTGTCATACTTTCAGGTACACCTTCTTTTTCCTGTTGGCCCAGAGAAGTCCCACCCATCCTTCCATAATCATGTGGTGAAGTCCAAATAGCATTCACATTGCACGACAATGTAATTTGTTTTCAGAATTGCTTGCCTTGCTAGACAGACTATAAGGTCCTTACGAGCAAGGGCTGTATCCTTTGTGTTTCCTATCATCATATCATCAGGGCTTAGCAGGATGCTATTATATTGCTATCAGAATTTATCATCGCCATTACTATTGGGTAATTGCTATCAGAATATAAATACAAATGTATGCATGAAATTCAAATCTCAATATTTAAAACTTTCAATAACAAAATAGATTTTTGTGGTTGTAGGGTTTGAGGAAAAAATAAGTCAAAAAAAAAAGGAAAGAATTTCATCTACTTAATATGGCTTAAATACTCCTCAGACTGAAGGCAATAGAGATGGCTGCCTGGGTCATTGGTGGTGTCCTATACTGAGAACGTAAAGAAGGACCCACTCAAGTCTCTGATGAATCAAATAAAATATTTGATATAATTTTGAACAAGCCATGTAAGTACACTTTAATAAGCATTCTAATTTTTATTCTGATTCTCAGTTATCAGTGTATAGCAGAAATAGCATAAGTTTAAGTATCAGACAAAGCAAGGTCTGAATGAAAGTTGAAATGTTTTATTGTTCTGTGCCTTGGAAATGCTGAACCTCTCTGAAACTCAGTTTTATCAGTGGTCATCAGGATCGTTAGAGCAATTCACCCAAACCCTTCACGCTCAAATACCTAGTACTTAGTGACTGCTCAATAATGTCTACTTCCTTCCCCTTTACTGAATGAGATTGGTTTTTGTACATGTTTATCTAAGCATTTTTTTGCAAAGATTACAAAAATCTTTCCCAGTACCAAGCTCTTTCCTGTTTTCACTGACAGCCTAGTGATGGTTTCATTAGTCCAAGAGCTCTCAAAGACTTTTAGGTTTTCTTTTTAGAGAGTAACATCTACTGTCTTCTTTTCTTGGCTAAGACACACCAAGAAGAAATAAACCAAACATCAAATCACAGAATAGATTTTAAAAAAAATTGATTTACCTTAAATGCTAACCTTTTGCCACCAGTTGCTTCAAACTGAAACTATGGACGCTCTCTCCTGCATCTAGGAAAACTGGTTCCTCCCAAGCCACCTTAGCCTCCTCCCTCTTACCTGTCTTCCTCAGAGGCCCTGGTCCAATCTCTTAGTATTAATTGGACGGCCTGGGATCACTGCTGCAGACTCACAGCCTGATTGGCTCAGCTCACTGTCAATCTCTACTCTGGTTCTGCCTTTTCTCAAGTTTACACTCCTGTTGCCTAGGAAATCTCAGTGACTGTGAAAGCTCAAGCCATTTGCACTGGGAGAGAAGCAAGCAGGAAGTTTTGCTGGCAATAGTTTGGTTTCTAGAACAGCATCAAAACTTGTCTCCCATGTTTTGTAAGGTAGTATTCAGCACATGGTCTTCTTTCTTTTAGGCAGCTAAAAGAAAGAAGACCTGTCCTTCTGTTGTCCCCAGAAACCTTACTGCTAGGGTGCCTCATTACTAGGTGAAACTTAAAACCACAACTCTTGGGAGCAGGCAGGAGTAATTATAGGTGATTCAAGGTTCTCCCTCCTTCTCTGCATTTGCAGAGGATGACATTTCTGCTGTTTTCATCCTTGGTTTATTCTCTTCTTTTCTCTTTTTGTCTCTTTTTACTTCTGTTTTTCACATGTTCCCTAGCAGTTACTTTGCCAGATAAGAAGAAACCTTGTGGCTTAGTTAGAGGAAAATATCTACATTATGCTCTCTTTCATTGTGTGTCTATGACATCCACCCTATCCTTGCCATTCCCACTCCTGCACATCCTGCTCTCAGGAGCAGGCAGGTATAATTACTGGTGATTCAGACCTTACACTTCTCTCTTTCTCTCTCTCTTTCTCTCTCTCTCTCTCTCTCTCTCTCTCTGTCTCACACACACACACACACACACACACACACACACACACACCCCTCTGTATATAACATAATCCTGGCTGTGTGCAGCATCCTTGCAGTATGAGAACTCACAGAACTGAGTAGATGCCAGGCACCCAGCTCTACAGACTACCAGGCAAGTTCTTTCACGGATTTGACAAGGGTCTGGGTCCTTTCCTGTATCTGCAGGGAGTATGCATAGTAGCTATTTCATCCTTTCATCTGAATTGTCTGAAGAATTGTCCCAGAATTAAGCAATTAGAACTATGGTTCCTCCAGGGCGACCTCAGATATCTAATGTTTTCTTTTCAGTGGTTTAACCCACAAGATATCATGCATTTTAAACTTTTAAGAAGAAACTTAATTCCATCTGCAAATGCAAAAGCAAATATGAGGGTACAAACATTTAAATATTAAGTTTTTCTTGAAAGCCACCTACCAGAGAGCAAGTTTGGGGCAATAAAGATAAAAAAAAAAAACAGGAAAATGGGGACGACGAACAGTATTATGGAGCCATCGTGCAAGCCCTCAATAGTCTGCCTCTAGGCTGTCAAATAAAGTAAAAAGAACAAAATCTCTGGAGTACTTAAGCAACGTTTTTGCTTGTTTCTACTCCTAGCAACTGGTGTAATTCCAAGGGTTTCACCATGTGTAGAGATAGTATCTACCAGATCCAGTTCAAAAAACTAGATCTGGGTTTGTGGTATTGGGTTTCTGACATGATTGATTATATTTTAAGGCATAAGTATTCTTTCCAGTGGTAAAGAAGACAATGATAGTCTATGGTGCAATGTGGTAAAAAGATTTGTAAAATATTACTACTGGATTCCTAATCAAATATTCATAAAAGGCAAATCTCTGAGTAATTGTGATACCTTAAAATATTTTAGTCAAACTAATAAATGTAATGAGGATGACTGCTCCTAACTGTGGTAGACGAAGTAAAGAAAAAGGATGAACTCAGGGCTTGAAATTCCAAGTTCAAGTTCCACATAAATGATCTGAAACCTTCTATGTCTTCCCAGAGGAATGTATTTATCTCCCATTGTCATCAGCCTGAGGTTTCAGAGAATCAAATCTAGAGTCTCATCCTGAGAGTGGTAGAATTACAGGGCAAATTGAATTCCCAAACAGGCAAAGTATCTTCTGCTAAACTGAGGGAATTGATTGGGAAGGAATGAGATTCTGAAAATTGGAATGAAACATGTAGGGTAGATCCTGATGAAGCTGAGGATACTTAACCTCTGAATTCTCCTGCATCTTCTTTGCCAGTAGGAGCAACCCTGCTATTCATGTCTGAGAAGGTTCATCCTGATTTTTCAAAGGAAAGTGTACTAGCACCTCTGAAGTATTTTAATTGGAAGACACTGCTGATTATCCTCAGAATCTACTTCCACCAAACCTCTTGACTTGTAGAACTCTATCTAGACTCTAGTCCCAACAGGCTTGAAAGAGAAATTAAAATTGTGAACCAACGGAAAACATAGTACATACCAAAAGTAGTGCGCATTTTTTTCAATTTATACAGACAGAAATCTGGTGAATACATGTGAGAATGTAAGTTAATAGTGTGAAATAATGGTTGAAGGAACATAAAGTTCACTCGAGATGAATTTATTGATACAGGCCCACAAAGCACAAATTCTCAATATAGAGTTGCAGCTTGATGGGTTATATACAGCTCTGTGTTTGTCTGGTTGAGTTAAAAATGAAACAAAGGGTAGCCTGCACTAAATGAAGCTGAAATACCAGAATTGCCTTGGGACACTGAAGAGGAAGGTATGTAAAGGTGTAGGGAGATTGAAATGTTGGACTGGATTTATCATGCAAGACATGATTACCAAGGGAAATTGGGTTGCTACTACACGCTGATGTAAAGACTAAGTCTGAAAAGGAACAAAATCATGTCCTTTGCAGGGACATGGATGGAGCTGGAAGCCATCCTCAGCAAACTAATGCAGGAACAGAAAACCAAATACTGCATGTTCTCTTATAAATAGGAGCTAAATAATGAGACCACACGAACACACGGAGGAGAGCAACACACACTGGGGCCTGTCAGAGGATGTGGGGAGAGGAGGGAGGGGATCAGGAAGAATAACTAATAGATGCTGGGCTCGATATCTAGGTGATGGGAGGATCTGTGCAGCAAACCACCATGGCACACATTTACCTGTGTAACAAACCTGCACATAAACCCCCGAACGTAAAATAAAAGTTGGGAAAAAAAAAAAAAGAAGCAAATACTATGTTTTCATTTTCTTTGTAGCACTTGTCACAACTGCGATCATTTATTTGGTTTACTGTTATAGGTCATTAAAAAGAAGAGTAAGCCTGGGATATAGGAACTCTGTTAGCACATCACTAAATATGCCCATGCCTTTTTATTAAAGTCAACAAAAAATCTACAATAGCCCAATTCAGGAAGGAAAACTAATAACCCCAACTCTTCAAAAATGAATATTTGGAACCCCTTCCCAGTCAGGAAAAAATCAATTGCAGTACTTGTCGAGGGCAAAGGGCATATGATATACAAATGCTAGCTATCACCGTATGATCAGTTGCAAAAGGATTGTAAATGTTATGAGTATTTACCTTTTATTTTGTTATGAATTTGTGAGTGTGTAGAATACTATTGTGTTCTTCTCACTCTATCACCTTAAAATCTAATATATTACTTCACAGTATTTATGTTACAGAATATCAGAGATAAGAGTGAACATCACCCAAGGACCTCTACTCTGGGGAAGAGTTAGTATATTCCCAGTATGCTATAGAAGAGTTGTATTAAACTGTGTTTTTTAAATGTCAACTTGACATATGCCATTGAACCTAGTTATTAAATCAAACTCTAATCTGTGTGTTGCTCTGATGTTATTTTTTAGATGTGATTAATATCTGCAAGCAGTTTATTTGAAGATATTGTGCCTCAAGACTGGAATATCAGGAACATTCTGTCACTGCCCTCCAAAAACTCATGTCCTTATCACATACAAATACATCCATTCCAACCCTCTAATTTCAAAGTCTTAACTGGTTTCAGTATCAACTCAGTAGTCCAAAATCCAGAGTCTCATCTGTGAACCTGTAAAATCAAATTAAGGTGACACCTTCTAAGATACAATGGTGATACAGGCATATGGTGATACAGGCGTAAGACAGACAGTCCCATTCCAGAAGTGAGAAAGAGCACCCTTCCATGCTCCCTCTCCCAACAAAAATAACAGGCTGCAAGTAAGACAAAAACTCAGCAAGGCAGGTAGACATTAAATTTTAGAGCTAGAGAATAATCTCTTTTGACCCCATGTGCCACCTCCTGGACACGCTGGGCTAGGATTGGGCCCTCAAGGCCTCAGGCAATTCCACCTCTATGATTTTGCTGGGTGCAGCTCACATGATAGGGGTTTGTGGAGGTATGGGGGAAAGCCAGGAGAAAAAAGTCCAGGAAACAAGAAGTGGAATAGTGAACACGTGAAGACAAGCTTCACTAGTTCTTCCATTTCACTTTGGGTAAGCCCCAGCCCAGGCACCTATATTCCAACTGCCCAAATCCCTGATCTGTGGCAATCTTCCACCAAAGATTTCTTCTATGACTCGTGGTCTCCATGTCAGTGTGATGAGCTTCTTCTCTGTGCTCAGACCTTAGGCATTTCTTATTCCAAGATACATGTTGCATTCTGACCAGAGATTTTATGGAAGTACTGTGTCCAAAAGAAATAACTGCATTGGTGGAAAATATGGCACAGAGCTGTGAATGTGAGTTGAAGAATTATTGATGGACAACCAATCAGAGCTATTTCTGGGATCCTTCACTTCGGAATTTTATGTTACTGTAGGAGATAGAAATATAGGAGCTAAAGGGTGAGTCCAAGAAACTTCCACTGGAGGGAGAAATATGTAGTCAACACTTACAGCCAAAATTCTTGAGATTGAAATGTATTAGGATGGTGGAAAAGTAATTGCAGTTTTGCCATTACTTTCAATATTTGGCAGGATATTTCTTATTTGGGGCCTGAATTTTGTGCAAAGTCAAATTAAGACATTCAGGAAAATTGTGGGATTGTTCTAGAACGGGCAACATCCTAGTCTCTCTTGCAACTGGATTCCATGGGATGTCGCCCGTTCTAGAGCAATCTTGGGATACTAAGGAAAAAAAAGTTTGATTCTCAGGAGAGGTACAAGTTCCATCACACTAATGTGTCGACCTTACATAATGACATTTAGAAAACATGATTAGGTACAGAGTTTATTCAAGTGCAAAGCTTGAGGATGACCACCCAGAAAACACTGACTCCAAACAAATGGGGTCAGTGTTCTGAAATGGAGAAGTTAAGATTTCACTTAAAAGGTAAGAACAGAGAAGTTTTAGCAGTATTACAATATTTGCCATACAAAATCAGTGCACACATTACAGTGATTTGATTGGTTACAGATTGCTGCATCCCCAGGAAGATTACTTTGTTACTCCTTAAAAGGGCTAGGACCTGAGGGAGTCTTGTCTCTGGCACCTCTTGGTCTTCCTAATTATCTACCAGAGAAGAATAAGGAAGGAGGTTAATCTATAATCAGAGAAGCATAAATTGCAGCTGCATGCTACTTGACTGCATGTTATGTAACTCACATTCCTCTCAAGCCTCAGAGTAAGTTAAAATTCCAACAGCTCTAAGTCTGAATCATTTAATTCTACATATGTCTTCTCCTAAACCATGCTTCAATATGGGCGTTTTCTTGAATCTAAGAGTCTTGGCAGCAGAGAAAGCCAGATCAGGAAAGAAGGTATGGCAATGGCCAAAAATTAGAAGCAAGTATTATTTGGGAGCTGAAGTCCCATAGCGACTGGATTCGAAGTAGAGGCTGTGGTGCTAGAGAAATAGTATGTATCTGTGGGAGTGACTATTTTTAACATCCACACTTGTGTGGTCTGAGGTAATAAGGAATACATAAAGTGAAAATCTCCTACCCCTCAGACTGCCTGCTCTTACTCACATTTTATCCATGTAAGAAGCAGAGACAAGGGGTGACCACATATGCATCCATTCATGGTGGGTCTTGATGAGCCAGAATGTTTTCTAGAACAAAGCCTGGGATTTTAGCACCTCACAAACCACATCAACTCCCTCTTGAAGACTGAGGCAGGGAAACAGTGTAATTGAAGAGATCCACTTTTAATTTCTCCTAGAGATCAGGAAAAACAAACACGCAAAAAAGGATTAACACGGAGTCACCGCTTTCTACAACTGTTTTTGTTGTAGTTGTTTTGAGATGGAGGGTCGCTCTGTCACCCAGGCTGGAGTGCAGCGGCACCATCTCGGCTCACTGCATCCTCCACCTCCCGAGTTCAATCGATTCTCCTGCCTCAGCCTCCCGAATGGCTGGGACTACAGGCATGCACCACCACGTCCGGTTAATTTTTGTATTTTTAGTAGAGACAGGGCTTCACCATATTGGTCAGTCTGGTCTCCAACTTCTGACAGGCGATGCAGCCACCTCGGCCTCCCACAGTGCTGGAATTACAGGCGTGAGCCACCACTCCCGACTCGGAGTAAGGCATCAGGAGTCAACACCTCAAGGGCC